ACATTTTATTTTTACTTGGATCGTAAGATAATTTGATCACAATTTAGTTATTTTTGACATTTAGGGGGTATAGGTCACGCCAAACGGCTCAATATTTTTGACGGCCACCTTTTTTTTGTGATCTTACGATCCAAGTAGAAAGAAAATGGAAATTAAATAGAAAAATTTTGTCTCGCTCCAGATTGAAAACGCCCCAATTCCAAGAGTTTTCGTAAATAAAATAGTTGTAGGTTACGGTGAGATGAAACTATTTACGAAGTTTCAAGCGGATGGTAACAATTCGATAAAAAGAAGTACGGACTATTGAATGTATTGGAAAAATGTTAAGGACTCTTGTAAGTGCGCACTCTGTGTGTTGAACACGAGATTTACTGGTGTTAAGTTATTTAACTATTTAAAATTAAATTCAATCTTATTTTTAACATATATAATTTCTATAAAGTAGGACTTTTGCTAATGATTTGCTTATAGCTACAGAATATTTAGGAATGTATATCTATGGTCATAAACAACACCAAAGTAATATGCTTATTTTTATTTATGATTAACATTTCTGATTTGAAAGATTAGACAACTTTCTACGTGCTATAATTTTAATAAATATTGTTAATTTTATAAATAACTAATGCTCAAGATGAACTGAGAACTGTTGAAATTTTCTATAAGTTTCTGTTAGTGTAGTTGCACCAGTAATTCAACACTTAAACAAAGTAATCATTTTAAAATTTTCTTATGGTTATATGATAAATAATCAGCTGATTTTTCCTCGAGTGCTTTATTCGCTAGATTTTTCCTTAGATTGAAAACTGAAGCAGTAATAATTGTTGCGAAATCATTTATCTGAAAGAAATATATAGCTATTATCCAGTGGATGAACACTTGATACCAAGTTGTGGACGCTTTAATAAATATTCTGAATAATTATTCCATCTATTCAGTCAAAGTTTTTGATTTCTTTAAAATTTTTGAATTCGTATAGGTGCATTTAAACTGAAGACTAAGTAATAAAACAATAAAGAAACAATTTATCACCAAAATCAACATTACTTTGCATGTAGTATAAAAGAAAAGAAATAAAAGATGATTTATAATATTGGCCAAATTTTCTTTTCATCCTTGATAATTTGCTAAGAAAAATAGACAGTATAGCTTCAATTGATGTAAAAGTTTAAAGAAATTCAAAACAAAGGATATAAGCTTTGCAGTAGAACATATGAAAAATATTTAGAACACTATATCTTTGTACCAAATTGTCCGATTTCAACGAAGTTTTTTTTATGGAAATTTCGTATGATTTTAAAAAACCATAAAGAACAACAACAAAAAAGTGAATATTTCTTGAGTTAGTCGGAAATCTAATTTTACCACCCCTTGTAGCATTTTCCCAGCTTTTTTTCCTCAGAAGTGTGTCATGTAGATAAATTTTAAGGGTATCGAGGAGAATAATTTAGCCAAGTTTCATTGAAATTGGTGCATTCGTTTAGGCGCTACAGTTTATAACACAGATTTTTCGGCCGCCATCTTGAAAAGAAAGGTCATATAGTAATGTCGAGGTAAGAGAATCATCCTCGGGTGACCTCTGACTTTGATTACAAATTTGAAAAAAATTGGTGGAGTAGCCTCAGAGAAAACCCGCGGAAGGTGTACAGACAATTGTTTTTATTATTCGGTTTTCTAATTCTACGTATCCTGAAACATAAAATCTCAAATTTTGAGTAGGGAGTGTTTACTTTTTGGACGGTTACAATGATTCATTATTGAAAATAATAAATTGAAAACCGTATTGAAAAATCAAAATATGTTGCAAAGGATATCTTTTAACCTCATATTAAAATTTTTTTTTACTAAAGTTTTGATGAATTTTCACATTAGTATAAAATGTTTTAAATAATAAACAAGAAATCTCTACCATCTTAAAATTATCATACAATCATGAAAAATGAATACATCTCAACTAACTCCTATTCATCTACTTGGAGGAATTAACTTTTGTTTAACACAATACTCGAACACCGGATATTCTTAATTATATGAAACCAAGTCTGTTTCCCAAATTCACACAAGAAGGAACGCTCACAAAATAGCATAAGAGAAAAAAATTGAACAATGTAAGACCATAAGACCCAGGTCTGCCGTTAACTTTTTTACTTTCACTTTTACTATATGTAATATATAGTAATGGTAAGTATTGCGATCGTGAAAATGTTCGAATCTGAATGTTCAACGAAAATACAAGTTTTGAGATCTCCTGAGCCCAAATAACCAAGTCCCGCAAAATAGTGTGTGTGTGTGACCGGTCTAGCTCAAATACGAAACATAGTATTGAAGTGAAATTGCATATTTAAGGTTTGTATATACCTGTGATGTTACAACAATTTTTTTGTCAAAATCAGCTAACCGGAAGTGACACTTTATATAATCGATTTACTACGTTTTTACGATTTTCTCAAAAACGGCTCTAACGATTTTGATTAAACTCACTATATCAGTGTATTATTAAGCAGTTTTTTAATATAATGTAGGTATTATTCTTATTGATGTTCTGTAATAGGGCTTAAATGGCTAATTTTCTATATTAGCTTTCTCTAAAGTACCTTTAATTTTTTTTATATGAGATAATTAACCATTTCACATACTATTTAATATAAAAAATAGCTAAATATAAAATATGAAAGAATTCGATAATTAGGTAGAGGAGAAATAAGAGATCGTAACGGATAATAGTTATAAAAGAGGAACCAAAAGAATACGAGCGCGCCCGAAATATTACATGATTCCATACGTCTATTAGCTTAATCTAATACTGACACCGACAATATTATGTACATGTACATATGCGGTTTTTACAAATGCTATCGTTCGTATTATATGATATTAAATTGTATAGAATACGATATAAAAATTCAAATTTGGATATACCCACAATGATATATAAATACATAGCCTCTATAATTCTTACTTTCACTTCTCTTTGCCTGAAAATACTTATTTCTGTTCTGAAGAGGATGGTAAGTGAATGTCGAGTGATGCGCGCACCAGATTTTTCTACGCGAAACCTAAAGGTCTGATACAGTGGCTTAATAATAAAATAATAAAATAAAGTAACAAATTAAAGGATTAAGGCAATTTCGAAACCTATATGAGCCAAATCAACTCAGTCAGAGGTGATTTAAGAGGATTTTTCATAGAGAAAAATGAGTTCTGTTGAATTTAAAATGAGTTCTGTCATATTTAATTGTCACAATATTAAATATAGTATTCTTAAGAAGTTTATTGTATTTAGACTTAGGATAAATTCAATAAGTAAAAAGAATTTCCCTCATATGTCTGTTTTTAGCAGTAAATCTGTAAATGTATATGTGCAGCATTTATAAATTTAAATTTCTTTGTAAATAAATATTCTCTGTTTCATCTTTTTTTTTTATATTCCTCTGCTGATTAAAAATGTTTTCTTTTTCAAGTTAAATTGGATAGTTCTTCAATCAATTGATAATTTATTGTATTTTATCCTTACAGTTTTATGTTTCACTATTAGTTATTTTTACTTGGTATATCCTGTGTGATAAAATTGAAAATATATTATAGCCAACAATCTCTAATATCCCAAAAAATTAATGAAAAATAAATAAAAGAAGAGATGCAATATACAATATCTACATTATGGTAAGAGGTAAACCATTTCATAAAAAATATTTTATATCAATGATCAGAAATGAATCTATACATTGAGGATCAAATTTTGAACTATTTAAATTTTTAATTATAGTGGATTTATAATAGTTAGTGTTGTCCAAAAGCGGTCTTGGTGATATACTTTGTAAAATCAAGACTAAGGCCCGCCTAACTGCTGCAAGACCAAGACCAAGATCGATAAAAAAAATCCTTTTTATGAATAAAAATTAAGTAAAAATAGTCAAATTTGAAATAGCTGTAATAGTAAAACTTGAAAAATTTAGTTACCACATGTAAAGAATTGGTATAACCAATATCCTTTGCAATTTAACTCTCAATTTTTCATTTGGCCTTAGTTAGGTTTCCCATATCTGATAAATTACAGTAGTATATCTGTAATAAGAAGCTGATAGGTAACTGGAAGACTGTTGCGAGACTTGCACAAGACCAAGACACGTCATGGTCTCGCATTTGGGCAACACTAGTTGTGGTATTCAGTCACAAGCAACAAAGTAAAAATAAATAAATTATATTTATTAAATTTACATTAAATAATTTATATTTATTAAAATTACATTAAATAATTTGTATTTTTTAAATTTACATTAAATAATTTGTATTTATTAAATTTAGATTAAATAATTTACATTTATTTAAAGTTTTTTTTTTTCCAAAGGTAATATTAAGAAGAAAAATAAAAATAGTTTCATGGTTGCTAACTTAGAATTGAGTTTCTGGTTTTCCCCAATGAAAGTTAATTCACTCAGTTTTTGTTTAATGTTTTAATAATTAATTAATTATGTTATATGTTATATTTTTATATTAAGTTTAATGTTTGTGAAATTTGCCAATGAGAGAGTAAGATTAATAAAATGGAAATCTTAATATGCCGAAGTTTATTGGAATATATTTTAAATGAAGTTAAACAGAAAAAAACAAACAAATATTGTTCTTTGATTTTATTAATTATTTTCGCGTGATTCAAATGCTTCATTAAGATTGTTCAACTTCAATTCTATCTCCCAAACCATTCTAGTAAATAGTTTGTCGCAATAATTACTTTTTAAATTGAAATAACAATGACAGACTATTCAAATATTAGTTTCCAGCCGATCCAATATGGCCGTCCCATCCGTATGACCGCACTGTATTATTAAGCCACTGTAGCTCTGAAAACTGGGGTTGGCCTCTAGTGGACTCTGATATAACTAAAATAATTGCAAATACTGCCTCATTTATTTCCAGAAATTATTGAAATGTGTTTATTCTCTGAGATGAGTTTAGTTACTGGTGCGACTACTATTGGTCGGTGTAAAGAAAACAATGGCCTATGTTGTTATGTTGAAGATATCCTTTCGGGTAAGAAGCTCTAGAAGAAAGACCGCTATGGCAAGAAGTAGTCCAGCGAACAGAAGGTAAAAGGACCCTCGTAGTTGGACCAATGACAGTGGCGTACCCCCGACCGGCTGTTTCGCCTCTGATTCCAGGATCATGAACCTGAAATATAATAAAATAATTACAGACTTTGTTTTATTTCATTAACATAATGTTCATGTGTATATAAAAAATAATTCCATTGTAAAATGCAATTAGTTTGTCTTTCCCTAAGGTTCAGGGAAGCTTTGAATTCTCAAGCAGCAAATAAAAATGTTTAAAAATTGTTATTTGATCAGTGGTTTAGTATCAAAATCCACTAATTGCTATTTTGAAAGATAGTTAAAACTCAAAAATGTCTTTTTTTGAAAAAATAAGACACATTTTCTTAGAGAATAATTGTCTTTTGTTAAACTTTTTTAACAAATAATAAACAGATAAATAATCAGATCAACTTTAGGTTCTACATAATCTATATATGTATAAAAATGAATGTAAGTCTGTCTGTTTGTCCTTTGTGCATTACTAAACCATTCATCCAATCGCCATGAAACTTTGGGAAGTTGTTCCGTACACTCCTGGGAAGGTTTCTGGCATAGTACTTCTGTCTTACAATAATTTTATATATGTAAAAAAAATAAAAATGTAAATGTTTTTCTGTTCAAAGCAGCAAAAAAATGTGTCGCTGTATAAACTGTAGCGCCATAACGGCTTCACCGGTTTTAACGAAACTTACATACTAAAACAAGCTGAAAAATGTTACAAAGAATTCAATATTTTATTTGACGATAACTAAAAAAGTACATAATTTTTTAACGATAATACCCACATTTATTTCAAAGATTTCTGAATTGCTGACAAAATGACAAAAAAATCATCGAAATCGGACGGTTCGTTCCAAAGTTATAGAGTTTTAAACATTTACTGCTTTCTCTTCAGAAAAGGCCATTTCCTTTTGCTTCCTCACTACCGAAGGTTGGCAAGCATTTTATTATTATTTTTTTTATTGATTAATCGAAAATTTTATAATAACTACAGTAATTGAAATTTAAAGAAGTTATATGATTCTCCTTATAGGTCAATACTATTATACGTTCTTTATATTAATTTTTTATTTTATTCACAATATTACTCAATTCTTCTTCGGTGCATACTATTTATTTTCAATATAATTTATTATTAGCCATATTTACACCAATTTAAAAAATTTGTTGTCACTTAATGACTACTCATCAAAATGACGACGTTTCGGCTCGTCGAGCCATTTTCAAGTCTAAAAAAATTTTTTCATTTACAATCATATATTAACTTTAACATATTTCAAATTATAAAGATACTTATTATGTACCTAAAATACCCATCATGTACCTGTCATTTTCACTTATGCGAATTGCAAGCGTCTACTCATAATAAAATTCCTTATTATTGTCATGTTCACCTTTAATTATTTAACAACATTATTATTACTCAATTCTTTACTATTAAATGATTCAAAATAAGTTAAATTTACCTTGTTTCTGAGTCACCCACATGTCATCCATCATCATTTCTATTCAGTGACTGGTTATTCTTATAGGAGTAGGGGAAGACTATTTATTATGAACATATATAATGCTGTTACTCAATATTACATGTGGATCTATTTTAAGTAATATTAGCTGATTTATTTCAAATTTTGATTTTTTCAATAGAACTAGCATAAAAAGTATTCATATTATCCACGTCTGTATGATTATTTACTGAGTTTTTTAAGTTTTTAGTTATGTATATTGATTCTTTAATTCTACGTTTATTCGTATTTCTTTCATTATGTAGGATTTTGGCATTTTTGAAATCAAACTCATGTTTAGTTTGCATATTATGTTGTGAGAGTCCAGTAGCTAATTTAATTTTTGTGTTTTTTGAATTACAATTTTGTTTATGCTGTTTAAGCCTTTTTTCAAACCATTGGGATGTTTGTCCAAAATATGCTTTGTTGTCGCAATTCTTACAATTTATTTTATAAATAATATTCGTTAATTTATCGATAGGTACTTTATCTTTAGTTTTCGAATAAATTGTATCTAATTTATTAATTGGTTTGCTTGCAAATTTAATTTCATTTACATCGTATTGTTTAAATGTTCTTTCAATTTTATCAGTTAAGTTTCTAATATATGAGACGCTAAAATATTTTTTAGGTTGTTGTTTGTTCCCATTACATTTTTCAATTTGTGTCTTAATGTCATGTATATCGTTCATGGAAGGTTTTTGTTTTACTGCATTTTCAGTTTTAAAATAATTTGTTATTAAATTCGGTTCTTTATTAATTTTAATATTTTGCTTCACTTTCTCACTCCTATCATTGCTAATATCAATAATCTGTTTGTTACTATTGTCATTTATAATTAACTTTTTATTTTCATACCATAATTTATTAATTAATCGAATGGGGTACCAATTTTCTAATAGAATTTGATATATTTGTGCTTTGATTTCTTTTATATGGTTTTGATCTGTTATTAATTTTGCCTTATTTATTAAATTTTTAGCTGTGTTAATTATTATATGTTTCTTGTGGTTACTGTGCCAGTTTAGGATTCTATCACTAGTTATTGTTTTTTTGCACCATGCCGTGCTAAGATCGCCGCTTTCATTTCTGTGAATATACATATCAAGATATCTTATTTTGTTGTTATTCTCCATTTCCATTGTGAATTTTAGTTTATCTGATATATAATTTAGTTTATCCAGAAAATTAACAGATTCATTTTTATTTATTATTGCAAGTATATCGTCAACGTATTTTATAATAAGCTTCGGTTTTTTTCCCCATTTAATTATAGCATTATCTATTAGATTGTTCAGATATATGCCCGAAAGATTGATTGACATACATCCGCCCATCGGTAGACCATTTTTCATTTTGTAATAATTATTATTATAGGAGAAATAGCCATTTTCGCAAATTAATTTGATTCCTTCCATAAAAACGTTTTTATCTTTTATTTCTGTGTACGGTTCTATTTCATCCCACCATTTTTCCAGTATTCTATATATTTCATTTAGTGGAACATTCGTAAAAAGGGATTCCGCGTCATAGCTTACTAGATTTTCGTTTTCCTCTATCCTATTTATACTATTAATTTTTTCTTTTACTTGCATTGCATTCTTCACATCGTATATATTATTATTGTTTAAGTTGTTTAAGGCTGAGTTTAGGAATTTAGCCAATTTTTCAGTAATGCCATTTATATTATTTACAATTGGTCTAAGAGGTCTGTCATTTTTATGTAATTTGCTCAGACCATGTATTCGAGGTATAGTATAATGTCTAGTTATGAGTTTTTCTTTATCCTTTTCATTTATAAATTTCATTTTCATTAATTTATTTATATATGTCAAGGTTTTATCCTGGATTTCATTAGAAGGATCTTTCCTAAGGCATCTATATATTAGGCGTTCATCCAGTAGGTTGTGCATTTTTTTATCATACTCAGTCTTAGTAATATAAGTTTTATAAGTTATTTTAGTTTTATAAGTTCAACTCATACTGTTTCTGATGATTATGAATGACGGCGTATTCACTCAGATGATTATGAATGTTCAATTTGAATCATGAGAAAAAAAAATCATTAGAATTAGTTTAAATTGAAGCCATTTTAAAGACAAATTTGTTTCCCAACTTTTTAAAAATGACAGATGTCCTTTGCAGCTAATCTACTCATATGTGCTTTCTATTTTCTTTCTTTTTCATTTTGCCAGGCGAAGCCACAGCAGCGCGTGGCTGGGTAAAGCTATTAATAAATAATATGTAAAAGATCTGTAATAAAATTATTTCATCCTAAAATTATTCAATAATAAAAATTAACAAAAATGAGAATACCGTTCCAAGTGACAACAATTTTTTTCCATTAAAATTATTTAGAAATTGGAAATTATCAATTACATTAGGTCCTTAACTTTGTGCCCGCGGGCATCATGTTTTCCGCGGCTCAATTTTGTTTGTTTTCTTATATTACTTATTACGTATTTTATATTAAAGAATTACGTATGTAGAGTAGATACTTAATCATTTCATCCTTCCCTTACAAAACTCGACTTACGGAATCGTTTGTAGCTAAATCACGATTTGCCAATCAATAGATTACTGTCTTCACAGAAGTCTGCTACTTTATAGTTACTATCATTCGTGAAAATTTCTCCATATGGTCCTATAATTCCATTTGACCCGTCTCTTTCTGTCCTTGTATTAAGATCTGTTATCACTATGCTTCTATTTTGGCTTTTTGCTTGGTCAACTGCTCTTTGGAGGTCACTGTAGATCTGATCCTTATCAAACACCGATGAGGAACTGAGACCTGAATTTTCGAATAAAAAGTGAAAAACTCAAACAAATGACTATCAATCTATAAATGTGTCCTTAAGTGAAAAAAAGGTTGAATACTCCTATTTTTGGAACTAGTGCTAGTTTGGGGATAGTTATTAATCAAATTATCTGACAATCAAAATATATTTATTGGATTCACCATCTTTTCGTATAAACTTTCCGTAACAAATAATAAAAATATGGTGCGCGCAACACACGACTTTCACTTACCGCTCTACTTTGAATAAAAATTATTTTCTGGCAATGTTGGACTATTATAAAGTTTTTGTAGCATATTTTGAACAGACCTAAAGCTTAAAGCTTACAAATAACAATTACAATTACAAAAAGTCTATTTATTATATCGACGGTAGGCAAATCTAGTTCCTCGTGATATAACACTTATAATATAATCTAATCTAGTGATCGTTATAATATAATCTAGTGATCGTAATATAACACTTCAATATATTTAAATAACTATTTAAAAACTTGAAAGAAAGATGATCGTGTATTCAATAAATATGTTTTTATGTGAAAATATTTTATTCTATATTACACTTTTTATTTATTCATATTTTTGTCTTCTATACAAACCTTCTCATTCTTGACGACCGAAGAATATCATTGTTTATTTTTGAGAAGATACCAGATTCGTGTAAGTAAGTTAGCCCAGATGTTAGCAGATTTGAATAAGAAGACAGTCGTCTGGTCAGAATACTGAAAGAAGAAACGTTTATTTTAAATTTAGCGAGTTTATGATATCGTTTCAGATATTGTATAAACGTTGATTATTCTGTATAATTATTACTGACTTATTATTAATTCAGAAGTAAACTGTCATTGGTTACATTTTTTAAGTTTTACATGAGAGCAATAACAACAACAACAAGTGCTTAGATCTGAATTGCTTGTTTTGGATAATGGTCGATTTTTACATTTGAATTGTTGGTTTATTATAAAAAGTCACTAATTTTTTATGGATCACAATTTTCTAGAACACTTTGTGAATTTCAACCTTATTTGTCAAAAAAAAAAAAAAAAAGTTATCGCTACCAAAATTACTCAAATTCTTTTATAAATCAGACATAGTTACAATAAGTGCACAATGTTATGATTTTACAAGGGAAAAATTCATCAATCTCTATTAAAGTTATGAAATATCAATCAATGACTTTTTACAGTAAACAGAGGATATTTTATCACCTATTGAACTTATTTAAGATACTTACACTTAGGAAATATAATGACAATTATTAAAATACTATAGTAAAATAGCTATTAGCAGAATTTAACTTATGACACTTAAATTCTGAGCTACATAATTAATTTATAAACAAATGTGAAATAATAAGACGCCAGGTACTGACGAATCATCTGCAAATCCTTGATAAGCTAATTACAATAGTAAGACTTACCATAAGATAGGTAACAGGGATGCAGATGGACAAGCAAGATCTGAGGAGTTCGTCTCTGGAAATGGACTCCAGTAAGATGAAGCATAGATCTGACATTTCTTTATTTTACTTCTCAAAAAGGCTATCAAAAGGCCATTAAGACTTTTCAGAAATTCTTTTAGAATAATGAAGAAAGTTTCTTTTAGAAGAAAGTTGTTAGAATAATGACAATAGTAAGAACTAAGAGATAAATAATAATAACCGGTACAAAGTGTGGAATGATGAAGTAAACATAATAAAAAAAAAGTGACATAAGTATTAAAATGGGAATCTTAGAATAAAATGTAAAACAGAAAAAAGAAATATGAAGTTATATATATCAATGGAAATAAATAGCAAAATTAAGATATTGCGAATAGAATAGTTAGATAGAAAATTGAGATACTGTAAAGTCTGTATATCTTGATAGACTTCTTATAATATTATTCTTGATAGAATTCTTGAAATATTTCTTCTCTTCATTATTAGTCAACCATTTACCCACAATAATATAAATTAAATATTTGAAAAATTTTCCATTATTACTCAGAAAAGTTGGCTATCTCAAAAACTGGTAAGTAGAACTTTATGATCTTCAAGAGGAAGTTTCTGCACAAAATCGTTGCAGATGTGGAAAGGCAAGTGGAATAAACCAGGCGCTCAAAGATTTATTTAAGAAATCTATGAATTTTATAGATTGAGTTGTGAACGATCCACCAAAGAAAATTATGGCAGAGGCATTCCATTGAGGCGGATCAAGACGCAGGGACGGTTTGGCTGGTGATGAACCAGCTAGGAACAGGGATATGATCGGAACACTTGATGGAGGTTGTTGCAGGAGGTAGTGACTCTATATCGAGTTGTAGTGACAACTTACTAATAACACTGAGGTAGTGATGAGCGAAATTAAACATTAAACTTCAATATTCTCGAGTCTAGTGATGTCCGTTCATATCCGGTCTGGGCGAATTTAAATTTACTTCACCCACAAAATGGATCTCCATTTTTCCATATGATTAGTATAGGTTTGGTTGTAGAAGGTTCCACTTGCCTTTCCACATCTGGGATGTCACAGGCTGTTTTCTTGTGTTTTCTCCCAAGGTCTGATGGAGGTTCAAAGATGAAATCATGGAAAAAATAAGAAACCATCACGCATCCAAGGACATCGACAGAGTGTTAAACTCTAAATCAAACCCAAGATATAGAAAAATCTGCTCCTTTAATGTTACCAAACCAGAGGATTATCTTCAGTTCAGGACTCTGAATTTAAACAAATTAAGAGCCGTTAGTCGTCTCAGAGTAGCAAGTAAAGATTTGATGAAAATATACTTAAAAGATGCTACTTTAACTATTAAATCCAGTGAGGTATGTGGTGCATGCAACTGCCTTGTAACTGACTCGGTAACTCATTTTCTGATCCAATGTATCAAGTTCAACGAGTCAAGAAATAAGTACTTGAAGACATTTATCACTGAATCCAGAGAAGATGCTAGTGTGGAGGAGATACTGAAAATAGACACTATGAAAAAAATAAACCAACTTTATTATTTCATACAGGGCTGTTCATTGAACTGTTAAGTGGTATAGTTAATCATATAACATACATATATTAATGCTTATTTATTTATATTATCATTATATATATTTATATATATATCGTTTACTAATCTGTTATTATATTAGTCATACTTAATGCTGTGGACATTATTAATGTTATGTTTGAATGCAGTAGTAGACTCAAGATCTAACATTGTTAATTATACCATTATATTTATTTGTACAGGAATTTCCGTAGACAAATAAAATAAACTATATTCATTCATGGTTGTAGGAAAATCCTCCTCCTATGCCAGAAATGACGAGTTAAGGAGTAATAGAAAAAAAAACTTAATAATAATCACAATAATAAAGACATATGGCCGGATTTTTTCAATTAAGTATATCCATGTGGACCGGGTATGCCCTAGGAGGATTCCCATCCCCAAAATCGATATACTACGATAAATAATTATCTACAATAGCCAGGCTCAAATCCATGTCTAAGGGGTCCAGTGCTCACCACGTTAATGACTTTTTTGCGTTATTTAATTTTAAATACAATAATTTTACAGTTTAGGTGAAAAACTTTAAGCTTCGGCTTGAAATTTATTTAGAAGATCTCGACAATTTTTAAGCTAAAGAGTTATTCAATGAGATTTAAATTGAAAAGATGAAAAATGTTGGCCATTTATGTCCAAATGCGATGAGTTAAAAAGCAAACAAAAATCCACTAACCTGATTAGGTTTTGAGCCAAGCACCTGCTAGATGGAACCAGGTTGGATATGAACTCCGGTTCGTAAAGTTCAGGGTCGTCAATGAAGTATATCTTCTCGAAATCGAAGGCATACACGCACGTCTTCCCCACGACTACCTCCTCTCTAGTTACCTGTGTCTTGAACCACTCCCATTCGGTATCACCCTGCAAAATGTCTTACTTCAATTTATGGTACTGTTTTTATTCAAAGTTTTAAATTTTCTATTCATTAATTTTTATTTTTGAGATGTGTCTCATATTCGGACAGTTACATACTGATGGAACGATATTCTGAATTACCTTAACCTTTTTCTATCTGTGGTATTTGAAGGTGCGTTGTAATGATTGAGAAATGATATATCTTCCTGCCCACTTAAGGTCTTGTTAAGGTGTTTGGAGTAGAGGGTCCTCCGCTCGTTTAATGATAAATATATAAAAATAAATAAAAAATTTAACATAAAAATAGGGAGGGGGTAGGGATATTGATATGGATAAGGGATGGGGAGGGGAGGACGGACCGTGAGGCGGGTTAAATGATTATGTTGATGGGGCTAAATGATTAAACCCTTATGGCCTTGCCATCTGGCACGGAGGAGGGCTGAGGTGATGGATCAGAATAATGGGTTAAAGGATTCGGGGAGGTTGTCGAAGAACTTGATATGTCTTCTTGAAATATGTTGTTGCACAAAGTCGAGTTGTAGTTCGCTATGGATGTGTTTCATGTTTCGTCTTTCTAATGTGGTTCCTTTTCAGATCTTCATGAGTATGCTGTTCTGGTATTGTTGTAGCTTCTTCAGGGCTGTCGGATATAGGTAGTGTAGGAGGGGAGCACCATGGAGAAGTGAAGGTCTAAGTATGGTTTTGTATATAACTAATTTGAGTCTGAGTAACACCCCTAGTGAATAGAATAGACGACGGAGTTGATTTGAGGTGGATTTCACTGTTTGTATTCTGTGAATGATAAATGTGATTCGAGTTTCATTCCTAGGCATAGTTGTCTTTTTACTTTCCTACCTATACTAGGTAAGGAAAGTATTGCAATCGGGTCAAATTTCCGACATGCGGTTTTTGACGGCTCTATACGTTTCAGAGCCCCTGAGTCCGAAAAACATATTTTTAGCCACTGGTCTGTCTGACTGTCTGTCTGTCTGTCTGTGCCAAGATTTTCTCGGGAACTACTGAACCGGTTTTGTTAATTTTTTTTTTATTTTGTAGGGTTTTGACTACTGATGCATGTGACATAAATTCGGTGCTCCATGTGCAATAGCTTGCGCGCAATAAATGAAAAACATGTTTTTCTATAGACTGTAGCGCAAAAACGGCTCTAACGATTTTGATGAAACTTTCCTATAATTTTCTAATCATTGTTCTTTTAATTTTCGTATATAGACTAAATTCTCGGAAAAATTTAGGAAAAAAGTTATAAAGAAAAGAAAAATGTTATGGGGCCTAACTCCATAAGTATATATTATACGTTAAAATTGATAATAAAACTTTTGAAAGGAAATTAAATTACCAACAAAACAAAAAAAAATATCATCGGAATCGAACTAGGATTTGCTATGATACAGCGTATTCTAAAATACGCCGTTAAGCCTGTGGTTTGAAAGGTAATGACATTCCATACAAAGCCATATAAAAATCGTTCATTTTGGACAACTATTAACGAAGTAAAAGCTATTCAATTTCCAATGTAAGATTATTGTTTTATATCCTGGTGTCAGAAAGGGGTGAATGAGGAAATAAAGATGTCTAAGTGAAAATAAGAAAATCTGTTGCCCGCATCACACAATCATCACTATTTACTCTACTTTTAACAGAAATTATTGTTTTACAATACTAAGCTATGGCAAAAAGTTTTTGATCAGCAATATTAGGAAGTATTTTTACATTGATCTATCTTAAGCCAGTTTACATTCCTTTAGTTTATCAAATAAATCGTACTCAAATCTCATGTTTGATCGATTTTCAGGAAAATGTATCTAGTTCAATTCTTTTTGTTTCTTCATGAACATATGTAAAGATATAAAAACTTTTCTGAAATAGGTTGGAAAGTCGTGTGAGTGGACACACCAGGTATTTGTTTTTATGGTTTGTCCGTTTAGTTCAGGGTGTTTTCTTGTATGAGAATGTGATGGCGTCGGTTTTTAGGGCATTGATGTGAATGTTTTTGTCTTTAAGTTGGGCTGATTTTTGTGCTCGGCCATTTAGCTGCCATGCTTGCTGTATAAATAGCAATATCATCAGCATAAGCGGCTATTTGAACTTTATCAATTTTGGTCCCAACTATTTGGGCAGTGTAAATATTGAATAGGATAGGCGTCAGAACTGAGCCCTGGGGGACGCCAAAAGTTTGGATATAATGCGTTTTTTATATTTAGTCTCAAATTTTTCAAAAAATAAAAGATAATTTTCAGTAGGTCTCAGTTCTTAGTAGCTAAACTCTGGGGGGTGATTCTATACAAAATTTCTATGTGTGATATAGAGCACACGAAAGAAGTGAAAACAGCAACAAGGCGAGATTAATAATATGAAATATAAATTATAAATAATAGCTCATTATAAAGAGAATGAAATGCTGAACATTTCCCTCGCTTACAGTATTCAAGTCTGATTTTTAGCTTCTGAGATATTCGAATCCATATATATTTCACTCTAGGTGTTACATTTATGGAAAACGTAAATGCTTCGTTCTACTCTACCAGTAAAAATCCGATATCCTCTCACAGTTGAGGGTCCAATTCACGGTTTCGCTTAGTCGCCTTCACCTAGGTCACTACCCGTTTCACAGAAATAAAGATAGAAAGATACATAGAAATTTTTATTTGTTTTTGGGGGGTTCCCCATACAAATAGAGCGTAGCTTACAATAAATAGTTAATAATATGGTTTTACAATTTACATACATATCATTTAAATATCAATAAACTTTACAATATTGTACGTTTATAATGGGTTTTACAAAGCATGAAAAACATAAAACAATTACTGCATAATGAACCTGTGAAGTTAAATGAACCTGTTACTATGATAGAACAATAAAAAATAAAAATATTTATATATACAAATAAAATATTACTTTTAACATAAACTAAAAACAAACACTTAATAGAACATGGGCTATGATCAACAATTTTGTGAATGTACTTTGTGTACTCCCATCATATAATAGTAAAATTTGTTTACTTTATCTATACAGTTGATATTCAATATAGTTTCGATGTTGTGGTTATCAGAAGATTCTGAGATGAAGTTATGGAGGAATTTTTGTCTATATTCATTGTATGCTGGGCAGTGAAGGAGAATGTGATGTAGACTATTGTAGATAAATTGACTGCTTAATATACAAATTTCTTGAGACTCAATCGATAAAGTTGTGGTTTTTGCATAGATTCTGACTTGTTCTGGATTTGCAACTCTTAATTGACTAACACATTTCAATTTCTTTATATGAACTTTAAATATAAGGTATGCTTCGGGATCGGGAGCATTGTAACTGCATAGCATTCTGTATAAAGGGTAATTAGTCGAGTTTTAAGTTCTTTGTATGTCGGCTGAGAAATAATGTTTGTGTGGTGAACAGAAAGCTCTTCTGCAAAGGCATTAAGCTCGGCTATTGCTCTAAATTGAGACACCTAATTGAAGTCTATGTCAGGCTTATCCTTATCTAAAGATTTAAGTCTGTTAAAACAAAGTTTTGGGAGTCGCTCTTCTGGCATGAACTCGAGCTTGGTCCATAGATTTATCATCTTTTTTATTACTTTCATGTCTTAATGGTTCTCTTCCTGTTTCGAGGCGGACTATGTAGTTTGGAGTATTTCTGGGCCAACCAAACAGTTGCTTTAAAAATTTAAGTTGGACCGTTTCGATTGCCTCAAGATAATTGGGGCTCCATATTTCAGAAGCATAAAGCAATGTTGATGAGACCATGGAGTCAAATAACGATTTTTTACTTTCCCAGGAGTCACTTTTCCCTTTTTCGTTTCACAGAAATAATACATGACTAAAATTGTTCATTCAATTAGCTCTACTATCACATCACATTCATTGTCAGTCAAGGAAGTAAAAATTTGTTTCACATATAGATTTCCAATTTTCAATCAATATTTTACTTAGTTTTTAAACCTTAAATTAAATTAATTAATAAGTAATTGTTAATATTCAAATAATTTATAATAGACATAAACAGAACCTAAAAGAATTATTATTTTTTTTAAATTGTCTGATTGCAATTTACTAGGTATTTGAAAGCGCGGATGGAATATTAATTAAGTTTGTATGTACCATTGAAAATTCGAATAAATGAAAAGAAATGATTGACGGTGTGAATTCGTTTAATCTAAAGCTTGCAATTTATTTAAAGTTTATTGAAATTAACTTGGAATCAACTGGGAACAATTAAGTTTATATACAAGGTTCATTCTATTGAAGTTATTTCGATTGTTATGAAAAGACCGAAGCAACAGAACACTTTTTTTTTATATCCGCTCTGTCTCACCCCACTGCATTGCTCCCCCTCCCCATTCTTCTTTCGTTTGTTGCTCCTCTCTCTACCATTCTCAGTATACTACCAACTGTTAAACTATAACGAATTAATCATTAATAAAAACCTAGAATATTTGGAACTTAAGGATTTGAATTGGCATTGATTATTTATATTAACTTGAATTACTGATTTACTGTTTCGATATAAGCCTCCCCTAAATATAAACAAGGTTGATCCGTAAAAAAACAGCAGAATAAAAAGTTGTTATGACTATTGCGAAACCTTGACTTCCATAAGCCCCCATAAAAAAAATCAAAACAACTCCCTCTCACCCAATTTTATGAAATTATTTAATATGAAATTAAACCTTCCCCCCATAGTACGAAATCCATCTCAAAAAAATATTTTCAAATTTTAACTACACATCCATCAACGACGGGCACATCAGCTAATATTATTATAAGAACAATTATACGAATTCATAATAAACTTTAAAATAAGGGAATCTATGGTTATAGTATTCCTATAAATAGAAGTATCATTATTATTATTTCCATCAATTGAAAAATTTGGCATTATGTAATTGATACTTTAGTTGTTTAAAACTGTTTAAATTACATATTTGTCAGGAAAATAAAATTTATTAATATAAAATACATTAAAACCAATACAATCATTTATGTATTCTGGCATAGCCATGTACTACATACCCTTAGGTCAAAGTAAGCCTCGGCATTGTCCGCTGGCACGTACCCGAAGCCAGATGTCCACTTGTAGCCATGGCGCACCATCTCTTCCAAGGAATCGACAGGATTCGGCAGTAAAGGAGTCGTTAGCCGTGCCACGAGGAAGGAAGAAAAAATGCTAGAAGCGATCACCACCAACAGCCCCCAACTAAGCTGCAGAACTCTAGAACCGAATCTAGAAAATCATTATTATATTTCTAGTTATATCTATTCTATTACAGTAATTGGAAAGAAGACGACGATTTCATAAATGATGATGAAATGGAAGTGTTTGTATCAAGACACAAATTAATTAAAGCAGCGAGCATAGGTGAATTAACACCAAAGATGAGGTGATATTAGGAGAACCTGAAAGTAAGGTCGTTTCTGAGGGTGTCACTATTTGATTGTCATTTAGGAGCACAATGTGTATGTCTATGTCGTGGCAGAGACATTCTAAGTTTACAGTGACTTTGTGACTTCTTTAGTTGGAACTGATTAAATTAAAATTTTTGTTTGCATTTTTTAGTGAAATAACCAGCCTAATAACGGAAGAGATACATATACGGCATTGCATGTTTTTTTTTTTAGTGAAACAAGAGTAGTAACGCAACAGTTGCTACTAAAAACATTTGTGATGTTTATCCAAATGCAATAGAAATTCGTTAATGCCAAAGGTGTTTTTTTCAAGTTTAAATGGGGTAATTTTGATCATTCCGACTCGCGTCCACCACAACTACGTTAGACAATGACGTGGTAAGAAAGTCGAAGCGAATAACCTTAAGCAATTAACCGTGTTCAACCATCCAAGGACATTTGCAGCAGATTGAGGAACCCCCTCATGCAACTTTGGCGAAGTATTTTTTGATCCCTTGAGATGACAATAGGTCTTGTATGATTATCCAAAACGCAAAAGACAGTGACTCTAAAAAAAATCCCCATGAAGTGTTGCTAAGCCAAGTTTACTTCCTCAAAGGCATTTTTATGTGTTTCGTGGTCTGGTAGTGTGTTTTGTCATTTTGAAGTGCTGACACATAGAAAAACTGTGAATGGAGAACTTTATTGTGAACAATTGGATTGTGTACACCAATCTTTAATTGAAAAGTGACCAGCGATTGTCAACAGAAAAAGCATTATTCTGTAACACGAAAATGCAAGATCCCACTGCGTAAGGCGAACCCTAGAAAAAATTAATAAATTGGGATGGGAGGTACTGCCTCATCCTCCATACTCGCCCGATGTTGCACCATAGGATTTACATTTGTTCAGATATTTTCAACACTACATTCTTGGGTATTGATTAGATAATCCTTACCTCTATCAGATTATTTTCTTTACATATCAGTATAATAATCCCAATTAACATGGAGTGGGGTGGTAAAGAAAAACGAATAGCTGTGATCGCCTTACACAAAGTTGGAAGTGTAGGTCAGAGATTTTCAACACTTTAAAACCTTTGGGTATCAGCCGTATGTTCGTGTACCGCACCATAAATAGATATAATAAAACCCTATCTCTATATGACAGACCTCGACCGGGCCATCCCCGCACTGTGAGAACGGTAAATGCAGTGAGAGCAGTGGCTGCTCGAATCAGAAGAAATCCCATTCGAAAACAACAAATCATGTCACGGGAAATGGGAATCTCTGTCAGGTCAATGTCTCGCATACTAAAAAGTGACCTTAGGATGTGTACATTTCGAAGAATGACAGGAGATAGGTTAACCACTTCCTTAAAAAAATTAGAGTGGATAGATGCTCCTTTGCCGTTACACCAATGGTCTTTGTCGAAATTTTTTTAGCGCTAAGATTTTAAATTGCCAAAATGATTGTGTGAAAGCACACAGATCTAAAAAAGCCCAGGAAGTCATTGGAAGAGTGGAAAGAGGTCCTCGTCCTTCCTTAGTAATGGTTTAGTGGGAAGATTGCTTTGGTGGCACCACTAGATTATCGACTTTGGTCCGAACTGGAGAGGATGGCATGCCACAGAGCACACCCTAACTTGGAAAGTCTCAAACAATCTCTGGTCCGAGCAGTTCAGCGCTTTCCTCGTGCTGCTATAGATTACTGGACACGGAGATTAAATTCTTCTGTAAAGGCAAAAGGGAGACATTTTGAGTAATTTCTTTTTTGTTAATCTCTATTCAAAAAAATATGTTTTCTATTACTATATGTCCCTGAAACAATTTTTATGACAGGACTAGTTATAGGGGATTTAAAATATAATTATTTACTTTCGACTTCGTTGAATTTTCCATAGCTATGAATTACAAATTTTTTCCCATATTTTTCCCGATTACTTCCGTTATATTTCTTTTCTAACGTTATATTTAACTTAAAAGTAGTGATCGGAAAACGAAAACCTCGTAATAATCTTCCCCAGGCTTTTACAAAATTAGGTTTAAAATATTTAGCCCTGGTGAATGGATTCTATTATTGTATCATTAAAATTACAATTTTTTATCTTAAAAAATATTTATATTTCTTACAAATTTCTGCAAAGTTTTAAGTAAAATATTTTATTTTCATTTTCACAGTTCTGAATTGTTATTATAAAACAGGTATTTATTGATTTTAACATATACTATATAATACTATTTCTAAAATATAAATTTCAAAAACTATTTAATTATTCTACTACACAAATATGACTGTATTATAACTACAAAACACTTCAAATTAACAATACCTTGTAAAGATGCCGTTGTACTGCCCTTGGAAGCAAATAGTGAACGCTTTGTAGAAACATGATCCAACTTTAATGTTCCATATGCCTGCGTCATCTAAGAAAATATAGGCAGGATTTGTAACGTTTTTTTTTAAAACGTTGGTTACTACATGTTAGTAGCAGTGATCTAGGATAATGAATACAAAATGTGTAACAAAGTCATCAATGTTATAGTAAAACTTTTTATTGAGTACTTAATAGTTGGTGGCGGTCATAAATATTCTAAAATAGTGGAAAGACTATTTTAAGCAAATGTTTCGACCTGACTCTGTAGGTCTTATTCAGGGCTAAAACGGACAAGATCCAAAGGATATACAAAATTGTGGAAGTTACATAATATTTAGATAAAAAATATAAACAAGGTGAATAAACTTATTAAAATTATAAACAATAAGTACATTAAAATACTAAGAACAATAAACTTTAAAAACAGAGTAAAATAAGTAACAATATCCTAAACTAAAATAATAGTACGGTACTAAACATTGGTCCATTACTTCGGCTTGACAAAATACAAAGAGATTCTTGTCATTTGAATGTTAATTTCAATTGCTATTGCAATCATATTTGAACAATACAGTAAACAAAGTAACACTAATACATTTTATATGGTTTACATGTATACAAAGACAAACAAATGAAATAAAATCAAGTGGAACTTGTCGATTAATTGTTAATGGAGAGTTATAATTACAGAATCCAATAAATATTGCATAGGTACGGAAGTTTCCAGAAGGAGGTAGCATGAATGACGAAGGATTTGCTGAAGGATGTAGTTTTATGAGAAGGGATATATACACCTGTAGGTTAGGGGTGGTTAGGGGTGGTTGAGTAGGTTGTAGGTTGAGACCTGTAGGTTGAGATCTGGTATTAAGAGAGTGGGTAGAGGAACGTAGAGTGAGGAGTTCCATGATGTAGGGAAGGTTTTTGGTTCTTAGGACCTGGAAAAGGAAAACACTATGAAGGAATTGTCGTCGGAGGTAGGATATAGCCACTTCAACTCGGTTGTCGAAGTGTGTCATCTCCCCAGTAACCTTTATTCACTAGTAGGCAGTTACCTCAGTCAAAGAACCGTCAGGATCAGGGGTAACTACTACGACGTCGAGAGGAGGATAGAGAGGGGCTGTCCGCAGGGCTCAGTCCTAGGTCAAGCCCTGTGGAAGCTCGTCTTCGACCAGTTGCTGGGGGAACTGGAAAACAGGGGTTTCCTTGCCACGGCCTACGTCGACGACCTGGCGGTAATCGTGGCTGAGAACAGAGCCAGACTAAAGACGGAAGCGGAGAGGTGCTCTAGTCTAGTTTCAGAGTGGTGCGTCAAGCGGAAACTAACCATGGCCGCTGCAAAAACGCAAGCTATACTCGTAAGAGGCTCCACGGACAGGGCCCACCCTATCAATCTGGACATCCAAGGTGCAAGGGTCAGGGTAGGTGAGGAGGCGACATACCTAGGGGTACGAATCAGAAGAAACTTCGACGTCACTCCTCACCTAGACTACCTAAGGGGTAGGGTGACCCTGACGATGAATGGCCTACGAAGAATCGGAGGTGCCTTCTGGGGCCTCAGGTACCCAGCAACCATGACAATATACAAAGGAGTCATCCTGGGTATCCTGAGGTACTCATCCCCCGCGTGGAGCCGAAACTTGAAGCAACACCACAAACGACGACTGGCCACCATACAACGCCTGGCCCTGCTGGGAGTCACGAGAGCTTATAGAACGGTGTCCCACGAGGCGGTGCAGGTGCTGGCCGGAGCGATGCCCCTGGATCTTATTCTCAACGAGGACGCCTTGAAGTTCGAGATTAAGAGGCAGGGACTGGATACGCTACCGGAGGGACTACGAAGAAGAATCTGCGAGAACCCTAACCAATGGAAGAAGATAGTCAGGGAGGAATCCATCCAGGAGTGGAACAGACGGTGGGTGACAAGCGAGAAAGGATCCACCCTCAGAAAGTTCTTCCCAACCGTCCAAGACAGACTTAAGGCCACTTGGGTTCGTCCTGATTACTGGGTCTCGCAGATTCTCACAGGACATGGTGGGTTCCGGGGAAAGCTGGCTGACCATGGAAAGGATATCGACCCCCGGTGCCCTCCCTGATGAGTCCCCGAGACGGCAGAACACATCCTGGTATCCTGCACCGCAATGGAGGGACGCCGTGCCAAACTCTTGAAGGAAACAGGGCTGTATAGCCTAACAGAACAGGATTTTCCCCGCCTAGTGGAGGAAGAAAATTACTCGCTCTTTAGGGAGTTTGTATACGGGTGGAGAGACACAATCGGCCCTGCACATTTCTCCCTGGGAGCGGCAAGAAGACCACCAGAGGAGAACGAAGAAGACAGGACCGGACGGATGCGGTGAGGACAAGGTGCGGCCCCATCATAAAAGTGCACAACCGTGTACCGGGCCGCACCACAGTATACCCAATCTAATTTTATGTTAAATAAATGAAAATTCCCTATTGTTAAAGATAAATAAATGTTGATTATTGGCCACAGTGGTTATACGAGAACCCAAACGTATTGACCCACTGCTGCCAAAAGCCCGTACGGCGAAAAAAAAAAAAAAAAAATAGGTTGTCGAAGTGTTTAAAGCAGAGAGGCAATATATGCAAATTATCAGAAGGCCTCGACAGTGCGTGTTCGTTACTAGAGGAGTAAGATGACAAGATGACTGGTTGGATTGAGGAAGATGAATAGATGGATAGCTTCGAGTGACAGGCGGATCAGCACCCAATCACTCTCGGCTTGCGGTGTAAGGGATCAGCCTTAACACTCCGGTAGGATGGTAACCACAACCGGAGGGATCAAACTGCGGACTTGTGGGAGGATGAGTTACTGCCGGAGAGATCAATCTCCAGATACAGTATATAGGACTGCAAGCCGACGGATCAGCGTCAAACTTGCATGGAGTTAGTGGAAAAGGCATCAGGTAGATGTTAAATTAGAACAGCAGACTATCGTGAACCAGAAGAGTATATGGGACATATACTGATCAATCTACACCCTGAAGGGGTGGAGCTCCTTAGAACTGACAACTTGAGGTTTGACTGGGGTATTCATTCCGCCAAGACCAAACCGGCTACCAAGAGCCGTTACTATAACAGTTATTTTGAGCTTTGGTCAGTATATGTTATCACCATTGAACTTTATTGATAAAAAAATATTTACAATGAATATGCATATTTCAGTTTACAATTTAAGTATTTTATAATACAAAAATAAGAAATCAAAAAGCTGGGGAAAGTATACTTGAAAGAGCTTTTCAAATGAATAAGCGCAGTTCGTGACATAAAGATTTTCATTTATGCAATTATTTATTGGCTATATATTAAATGTTTGACAATACAAGTATCGTAACCAAAAAAAAAAAAAAAATGAATATAGACATCTTGACATACTTAAATTGATTTCGCAAAGATGAATGATGACAGCACTGGCTACTGCCGAGACGATGTGTATACACCAGAAGGTAAGGGGCAGCGTCATGAAGAAGGAGTGCCAGTATGTGACCGATGCCTGAGGCTGTGGCACCAAAATCCTCGAGCAAAGGCGGAACCTGTCACTAGGCGTTGGTCGCATCGTGCTGAACAGGTTAGGAGTGATCCTAAAAACAATAAAGCTTCATTTATTTTCTTAAATTTGCAATCAACAAATTTTATATCAAGTATTACAAAATTGTGGAAATAGAGTAAATTAGTGCATTTGTGATTCAGTGGATTATATAATAAAAATAACGGACTGTATAATAGTAAAACAAAACAAAATTAGGACTAAGCATTTGTTTTTTTTCTAACAACAAATAATAAAGAGGAAAAAAAAAAAGGTACTTATTTAATAGTGGGTAGCGTCAAAACCTCCCTTCTTATCAAATCTCATTTCACATAAACTCCCTTATCTCTCTACTCCGTTACTCCCTTTCTTATTTTTTGTTTCTTGTGTTAGCTGTGAGTTAGTGTTATTTAATTATGGATGTTGTCACATTGTGGGAATTGCCATCTTCAGAAGAGGAGGCTATAAAATATTTTCAAGGCGCCGGGATATTTGCAAAGATCAAATATTGTCATAAAGGTCATCAAATGAAGTTCGACGAGATGATTAAATGGAAATAGTTTCGTAGTTGTAACAAAACCGGGGTTAGAGGGGTCGAAGATTTCTTTTTTAACGGCTTTAAAATTCATTTATGGGTGGTCCTCTTTCTAAAGAAGACTAAAAATTTGGAAGAAGTTCCACCGATAATGGAAGATGAAGTTACTGTTGCCATTAAAAGGCTTAAATCTGAAAAAAGTCCCGGACCGGATAACATAACAAATGAAATTTTAAAAGCAGGAGGAAAAGCTCTAATTAAAGAACTGTCAGAATTATTTAACTTAATTCTCCAGGAGGGAAAAATTCCAAAGCAATGGAGAATCGCAAAGATAATCTTACTCCATAAAAAAGGCAATATGCATGACATAGAGATTTACAGACCCATCTCCCTTTGTTCAACCATGGCAAAACTTTTTACCACCATAATTAAACAACGACTCACAAAAAGAATTATGGAGTGTATAGCAGATGAACAGACAGGATTCAGAAAAGGATTCTCAACAATAGATCACATCCAGACGGTAAATCAGATGATCGAGAAATCCAAAGAATATAATTTCTCTCTCTACCTCTATTTTCTTGATTTCAAGAAGGCTTTTGACACCATTTCACATGCAAGTATAATTAAAGCACTTAGAGCAATAGGTACAGAAGAGAGATATATAAAGATTCTAACAGAACTTTATGCAGAAATGTCAGCATACATTATGACAGAAAAGAAAGGTCAAAGCTTCAGGGTTAGGAAAGGGGTTCGTCAGGGAGACCCATTATCACGTATGTTGTTTATCTTGGTGTTGGAGCTGGTGTTTTGGAATCTTGAATGGGGGAATGTTGGTATAAGGGTGAATGGTAAATGGTTGAGCAATTTACGTTTTGCCGATGACATCGTGCTCTTTGCCAAAAACATTCGACAATTAAAGGAAATGATTATACAACTTTTAAGGTTGTGTGAACAAGTCGGTTTATATCCAAACTATAACAAAACCAAAATAATGTCAAATAGGGAGCCAAAAGAAATAAAAATAAATAAATACACCTTAGAATATGTAGACGAATATGTGTATCTAGGCCAGCTGGTGTCCTTCTCGGATAGAGCAACAAAAGAAGTACAGAGAAGAATCGCAATGGGATGGAACAAGTTTTGGTCACTGAGGCACATAATGAAAGGAGATTTAGATGTGGATCTTAAAAGACAGACCTTCGATAGCTGTATCCTCCCAGTAGTGACATATGGTTCTCAAACTTGGTCGTTAACTAAGGCCCACGAGAGAAAAATCCAAGTGTAGCAGAACAGCATTGAGAGGAATATTATGAAGGTAAAGAAAAGAGACAAAATAAGATGCACTAAACTAAGGAAAGAAACAGGCCTCAAAGATACAATTTTACAGTTGAGGAAAATTAAATGGAAATGGGCTGGTCACCTCTTACGTAGCAACGATGTTAGGTGGTCGAAAATAACAACCGAGTGGACGCCATATGATCTAAAAAGGAAGAGAGGCCGACCAGTGAAGAGATGGTGCGATGTATTCAGGCTGACGATGGGACCCCTCTGGTGGAGAGACGCTAAAGACAGGGTTATATGGAAAAAGAAGTGGACAGAGCTGACGGACCCCGCTTCTCAACAGGGCTAGTCACCCAGAGAAGTGCTGACTACTACTCCCTCACGGGAAGGCCTGTGCAGGAAGAAAGACATAGAAGAAGAAGTGTATAATAGTGTATGTGTGTATGTGTGTGCGTATCCATGTAGATATGCATGCTATTTTATATTAGTAGTTATAAAAATAAAAACCATTTGTACATATGTAACTACTTATTTTGCATAATAAAGGCTATTTTATTTCATTTCATTTCATTTCATAGGTGGTCCTTAACCAAAACTATAACAAATTCATAGTGTTTCTTTTATATGTACATTTGCTGTTTAAGTGTTTTTTTATTATTTCATCTATTTTTGTCTATTTTTTGCCTATTTTTATTATTTCATTTATTTTGATATATATGTTGCAATGTCTTCGTAATGTTTTTTAATTATATATTTATAATGTTTTGATTTATTTTAATATATATGCTGTAAAATAAAAGTATTTTTTATTATTACATTTGTTTTTGTTTTTGTTCACAATTTCAATCATATCAATACAATACAATAAATATGAATACGAAGAGCTTGTCAGTGTTAAGGTTATAAACATTGGCAGATAGCAGTCGGACGCTACCCGCTATTAAATAAGTACCCAAAAAATTTAAGGTATGTACTTTTGACCACACGAAAGAAGTGAAAAAAGGCGAGATTAATTATATGAAATATAAATTATAAATTACAGTTCATTATAAAGAGGATGAAATGCTAAACATATCCCTCGCTTACAGTACGGAGGTTAGATTTTTAGTTTCTGAGATATTTTAATCCGAATCATCCATAAAACTCCATTAGGTTCCATTACCATTAGGTTTTTGACAATATTTTTATTCCTTTTTGCCTTCCTAACAGGGCGACGGTATTTAAGATACAATTTTACAGTAAGGATGAAATGCTGAACTATTCCTTCGCTTATAGTATAGAGCTCCGATTTTTAGTTTTTGAGATATTTTTATCTATATGCAAAAATACTTTTCATATATCATTTAACGCAATGGAAAAACACCATATTCAGATTTAGCGTTCCAAAAAAACATAAAAAGCCTGAAAGAAATCGACTATTTGATTTTTTACTTTCACTTATGTATATATGTAATATATAGTAAGGGTAAGTATTGCGATCGAGAAAATTTTTGAATCTGAGTTTTCAATGGAAATGCATGTTTTGAGGTACCCTAAGTCGAAATGACCAAGTCCCGAAAAATGGACTGTGTGTCTGTGTGTTTGTATGTTAGCAGTCTAGCTCAAAAATGAAAAGTCGCACGAAACTTATATTACGTATTTAAAATAGGTACAGCAACTTTTTCCTCAAAATCGGCTAACCGGAAGTGCCACTTTATATCAACGCTGAAACACATTTTCACAATTTTCTCAAAAACGGCTCTAATCTAACGATTTTGATTAAACTCGGTGTATCATTGTATAATGAAGTAATATTTAATATCAATTAGGTCTTATTCCCATTGATGTCACTTTATAGGGCTTAAATGCCCAATGTTCATATACGTCTTCCTCTAAAGTAACTTTAATATGGTTTATATTAAAAAGTTAATAATTTCACATTATTCAGAGTTACGAAAAAATGCGAAATATAACTTTTGAAAGAATTTGATAAGTTAATAAAGGAGAACAAAAAAATGCAGAAAAACCTGCGTTGCTATAGATTATAGCGCCTAAACGAATGTACGTACCGATTTCAATGAAACTTCGCTAAAGTAATTTTCTCGACACCCTTTAAATTTATCTATTTAACATACTTCAACGAAAAGAAGCTGGAAAAAAAGTTACGAGGGATGGTAAAATTAAATTCCGAATGACTCAAAAAGTATACACTTTTTTGTTGATATTGTAATGGTTTTTTAAAAGTTTATAGAATTTTCTAAAAAAAAACCGTCAAAATCGGACAATTAGGAGGAAAGATATGATTTTTTTCCCTTAAGAGGCTAACATTTGGATAAATTTAAAATATACTTTTTTAATTGTTGAGACTAAAAAAAATTTTTTTCTACAGATATTTTAAAAAGTATCTTTCCTCAGAACATCTTTCATAAGAAATAAGTACCTAAATTTATACTCTTATTCTCAGTTCTATATTTCAACACTGCAATCACCACCTCCGGAATCAACTTGCTCACTGTCTGCATAGATAACTTTTTCAACTAAAAATATCACTAAAATAACATTACTCAAAAATGTTGAAATTGAAGTTAGTTATTCTGTGGTATATAAAAGCAACGAATGTTGTGTGGTTTATAAAAGCAGATGGAGGGACTAGATTTTTATTAGCTACCGTCGATATATTAAATAGACAATTTGTAATTACAATGGTCTTAATGACTTTTTATCTGTAAGCTTTAAGCTTTAGCTCCGTTTAAAACGCACTTCAAAAAATTTTATAATAGTCCAGCATTGCCAGAAAATAATTTTTATTCAAAGTAGAGCGGTAAGTGAAAGTTGTGTATTGCGCGCACCAGATTTTTTTTTCATCCAATAACCTTCCAATTGGCCTAATTTGATGACTTTGACGCGTCAGTTTTCAAAATGCAAACCAGTACATCGTCAGTCAAGGTGATTTTTCTTTTAGGGACATATTCTTGACATCATATCAAAATTTTAGCCTTATGTTCTTCCGTTAAATGAACTGTTAAATTTTACCTCATTAATTTAAATTTTCGCATAGAAAGCAACTGCTTTCAAACGACTGACCGAAGTTGTGTGTTCAGATGAGGTTCATCTAGAATTTAAAATGGTTAGTATCTTAAAGTCCTTCCGTTAAATGAAATGGTCGGTAACTTAGTCTATTACTGTAACATAATGCCGAATATATCATGAGAGAATAGCCATCCATAGTTATAATAAGTTAAAAGAATTAAGCTAAG